GGATGGGAGATTTTTAGGAGGAAAAACTTCCGCTTTTAGGGGAAGGTTCCAACGAAGTGGGGCATAGCAGAGGTCACCGAGATCATCATTGAAGTGCGGAAGATGCGGCCAGATGCTCTCTTGCTGCTTGCAGAGTCCGCCGACAAGGTAGGAAAAACAGGAATAACCGCCCAAATCGTTGACAGTCCGCTGCGGGTCGAACCAAGGGCGTTATAAAATGATTTCTACTATAATATAGAAAGTTGTATTCTAATTTTAATTTTTCGAGCGGCCGCGTGGACTATGGCCGCCAGGTTCGGCTGATGCGACCGTTGACGGGTTCATCACGGTATGCAAATAGGGAAGACCGCAGAAACCCTCGCATGGGATTAACGGTAGGAGAACCTAGTGATGTGAAAAAAAGCACATACAAATGTTACTTAAGTATAGCTAGTATTATTATAATTAAAAATGGTCGGCAGCGGTCAATATATATTTAGCGCGCACTGCTATATCGGTCCAACTTTCGCTTAAAAACCTCAAGGGATTCCAACATAACGACGTCCAGAGGAAGAATATTCTAAACTTTGACCACCCTTTTGGAGAAGAAGTCCTACCGAGCGTACAACCTATGATTAAGGATTCTCAACAGAATCCGAAAAAGCCAGGAAAATAAAACTCTTGTTACAGTGATCGCATCTACTTCTTCTGAACATCTAACCCCTGTTGTGAGTCGCACAAGGGTTGACATACCACATTGTAGGCATTACCCAAAATGAGCCATGTATTCTAAACTACGTCGTAGCAATAGGCAAAAAGTTCTGACGGACCTCTGCTCTCTTTCAGATTTTGCGTCGCATGACGTGTTTGCCCAAGTATTCGCACTTCCTATCTCTACATGGGAAACACAAATTGGAGCATTTGAGGCCAATGTTGATGTATCTGTGCAGGTGCTTTTTGAAAATTTTCTTTTCCAACTTCCGTTCCTTACTCACTCACCACACTCGAGAAGCACTTGTCTCATTTCGGTAAAAAATGAATCCTATTGTTTTGAAATATTGGTGCCGCTTTTTGGTTGTTAGCCATTTGCATTCAACTTTCGCTCTTTCGTCTTTGTTTGGAAACCAACGTTCACATGACAGGGAAATAGCTACCACCGTACGACACGTGGCCTTGTATTAAATTCCACGGAGGTTTGGGGTTGAGAGTTAAGGTTAAGGTGCAGGGGTCTAAGCCTTGAGCACTACAACAAGCGCGCACAGTTCCGTATAGGAAGAGAAGGAGCAAGACCAGTAGGGGTTGTTTTTTGCATACAGGACCTCAGTGGTGGTCTGCACCCCCGATGCATGGCCAGCCCGGGCCCTGCGCGCGCGTCTGTCTGCTAGGGTCCTGTGGGCGTGAATGCGTAAACGTCTTACGAGAGTGCTTCGCTGGCCTTTTAATCAACTGCTTGGCCAATATCAATCTATGACACCTGTGATTGGATGTCCCAGAGTTAGATCAAGGAGTGCAATCACGTGACTGTTTGCGGGCTTGTCGCCTGCTCCATAAGGGTAGGGACTTAAGAAGGCTCTCTATTGGTCGTATAATTCGGTTCTTCGCACGATTACGAAGTCACACAGCAATATGTAGCTTTGTTGGAACCTTTATGGTGCTCACTTTTGTGTGAGATCTGAACCTGTTAGGATATTAGCCGGACCAAATGCTAGCAACGTTTGAAGGCTTTCCTAGGGCGTCGAGCCTAGCTAAATGTCTTTGTTTGTTAGGTCTGGCCGCATTGAAGCGATGACCATCAACACACAATGACCTTAGACCTCCCGCAC